GGGGAATGCATGAGGGAGCAGTTCCTCCATGGAGCAGGATTAGCTGCATGCTGASGGTGGCCACATCACTGACAGTGTCCTCACACCCATCTTGCAGCATCTGAGCAGGGTGGACAGAGCAGGGTGATGGTGACACTGCCCATTGACAGCTGTGGCAAGTCATGGAAACAGGTCCAGGTTTGTCCAGGGAGTCAGGGCGAACAGGAGATGTGGCCACAGTCAGGACTGGAAAGGATKCAGCACGTGTCCAAGGTCCTTACAGGAGATGGGAACAGAGATTAGACTTCAGGGTTGTTCCAAAATCTGACCAGGAGATCATGGCACCTCCAGGCATGGCTGATCARGGTCTTCAAGGTTTAGGAGTGCAACAAATGGAAGCTTTTTGCTCTGTACATTGCTCGTTGTCTATTGAGGAAAACTCCCAAATACCTGATCTCCAGAAATCCTGTTGACCAACAGTCACCTTCTGGAGATGTCCTGAAAGCAGATGAATCAAAGGAGAGTTTCAGTGCCMTGCCAGAGGAAACAGCATGGAACTTATAAAATTCTGTCTAAAAAAGGGGGAGGTGGCAGGCGAGCCGAGGGAAAGGTGGGGTTGTTGCTCTAAAGAAGTGTGGATTTCATCCAAGCCCTTCTGAAGCTCCCAACGAGCCTCRTTCTGATTCCAGGGAGTTTTGAGTCCAGCTAGAAGGCTCCTSTCCCAGGCTGAGTGGAGTTTTTCTCCCCACACTTTCTCCATCTCTTGTACTGACCCTTGGGAGCCTGGGAATGAGCCTGGAGRTCTTCTCTCCCAGAGCTGGGGTGGCAGTGGCAGAACTGCTGTTCCCAGGAGGGGATAAGACGGAGTGTGTCACATGTGCAGGGAGAAGATGTTCCTCCACAGCTGGCTGTGCTGCTGTGCAAGATCTGGAGAGCCCTGGTTTGGGCTGTGCCTTCCCTCGGGGCCCCCAAACCCGGGAACAACATGCTCTTCCCAGGAGGTCAACAAAGGGGAGCCTCATCCCAAAGAGAGATCAAAATGCAAACTGAGACACAGTAAAGTTGTTCAGAAGACATAGGATGCCCATTACTGCTTTTAATTCAAAATAAATTGAGCAAATAATAGGCAATAACACAATTGGGTTAACACCAGGCTTGTGGATGGTAAAGGGAATGTTAAATTTAAAAGTGTGTAGCTCTCTGATAACATACAGAGCAAATCATGGTGCAGAACTAGGTGGGCTGGTTATGTCTGGGCTGGAAGAGGGTTTGAAATGCCCCAACAACACCAACCCATKCTGGRTCCGTCAGCACTGTGAAGGGCAGCRTTCAGGTTGTATTAGGGAAAAGCAGAAAAATAATCATCTGGAGGACGGGGTGACTCAGGGGATTGGCAATAAGATGGCTCATGTTACTGCTATGGAATGGATTCCAATTAGTTACATCCGCTTTYAATTATTATTATTTATACAGAACCTAAAGGCAGTCCACAGATTATCCAAAAATGCACGAGATGATCTGTAAATCCCCCGTCGCTCCCCCCCTCGCAGCCCTTGCAATGACAAACCCCAGTCACGCTGCCTGGACTGGTTCATACTGGCTGAGACATAAATTGCTTGTTAGTGACCAACTTGCTGCTTCTCTGCTCTTGTCAGTCTTCAAAAGGAAAATAGGGAACGGGTGACTGAGGTCGGAGTTTCGTGTTAAGTGTTTTTGTTGGAAGCAGCAGCAGCTCAAGAAGTTCCTCCTCGCCTCCCTGCATTCGGTTCCTTTTTCCCCCTTGTGCCACCCCGTGAGTCATGCAAATACACCCAGGCAAGTGAACTGGTAACTCTGAAAAACAAGAAGGAGGGTTTTTTTTTAATCAGAGTTGGTGAAACTCACTGCTCATGTTGATCAGAGGCTGCTGGGTCTTYGCTGAGCTGGTGGTGGGAGTCCGAGTGAGTGATGGAGAGGCATCCACTGACCCCGTTTGCCACCAGAAATCAGCTTCTCTCCAACATGGAGATCTCTTGTCTTGCAAGGAAAACCAGTGCTCCTGTTTAGTCACCTGAGGCTGATTCAAGCCTGTTCATGAAATGGGATGAATTGTTTCGCCAAAAGGAGTTATTTGGGAAATTTCAAAGAATACAGAACCATGGAATCACGGAGTGGGTTAGAAGGGACCTTAAAAATCATCTCATTCCAACCCCCTGCCATGGGCAAGAACAGCTTCCACTAGACCAGGTTGCTCAGGACCGTATCCAGCCGGGCCTGGAACACTTSCAGGGATGGGGCACCATCGCTTTTTTCACCCTGGAGAAACCAGAAACATTCCAGGAACTAATTTCTCATCCCTGACTTGCACTAAAAGAAGCCAGGCTRATGGGSCAGACATCATTTCCTTTCAGACTCKCTCATTCTCTGTACATGGACCATTGCTTCCACATCTCCCATAGAAACAGAACATTTCTATGTTGCTGTTGTTATGGGAAAGCAGCTGGTCATGGGAAAATTTGTGGCGCTGGTTCATATAGAAGCCACAATTATAACTTGCATTAACATAAATTGGGAAGTTAAATCAACAAAGCCCATAGACTTCCCTGGGTGAGGGAAAGGAGAGTTTRGGTGGGCGTTCTCACCCTTCTGACCCTCCTTATGATCTCCAGGAAACTGGGAAGGGACATGTCTACCAAGAGCAGATGTTCCCAGCAGGAATATATAGATATACACACACATATACATAAACACAGGCGTTTCAAGCCAGGTGTGTTATCACTGGTGGATTTCCCACCTCAGAACCCCATGGGATGTCAGGGCCAGGAGCCAGGGGTGGCAGCTGGGAAGTGAAGTATGGCACGGCTGGATGCAGGTTTGGTTGCCATCACACCTGAGCTGATCTCTCTTCCAGAAATCATGGATGCACAGCTGGAGAGCCTGTTTTCCCGGAGTAAGAATGGAGAAGGAGCATCTGATGGCCAGGTTGTGTGCATGAACACTACCTTAGCCCTGTGCCCGGAGTGAGGACTGTGAGAAAACCAGCAGGTGCCTGGGGAGGTGAGGCTGCAGG